ATAAATCAAAATAATTTTAAAATACACCATAGCAATTCTCTTATCAACATTCAAAGGACAAGTCTGGGTTCCTATCACAAACCGGAAAAATAAAAAGTACCTCAAGTTTAGTTAAAGCACAAGTAATTCTCACCTTATGGTAGCGTGCCACCAGCCTGCCCTCAGAATCAAACACCATGTCAGTGTTGTATTGGTAACGGCCGTCAGGGGGGCACTGCGGATCACCGGCATTGCACGGCTTCTTGTCCCCAATGTTTGCCACGACATAGATGGAATTGTCCCTGGCCAGGCAGCTTAGTCTTTCTTGCACCGGAGTGTAGCCAAACCTAAATCAATAGATATTGCCTTAAACTTACTCTACTTCGGTAATTTCTGAATTTCCAAAGTGATACTTTATTTGCCATTACATATAACACAACAGTTCTAAGTTAAGACTGAATCAAAAAGAGCCTCCCCTATGGCTCAGGGGTTAAAGTCTCAGGGCTGTCAATGATCACCAGCCACTGTGGCGTGAGTTCAATCCCCGGCCTGGGAGCTGACCCACATGGCACAGCAGACCTCTCTGTTCTCATCCGCTCCCCTCAGCAGTGTGTTTCAGTGAGTCTACTTGTTCTGCTCCCCTCTCTCTCTCCAGTGAATTTCTCTCCCTGGTTTGCACACCTCTGGCCTGCACTGCAGTTCTAGTATAAATAAATAAATAGAAAAAAATCCTTTTTAAAAAAGAATGAACTGAAAAGATTTTAAAGCGCACATGCAAGATAATCTTCACCCTTATGAAAGCTAAGCCATTTTAACACTCCAGGATCCAAATTTCAGTGTGAAACTGAAGCACAGAAAAGATGAGAGACAGATGAGAAAGAAGTAAATATTTTCTCTTATAAATTCCTCCCAAGAAAGCTAAGGGCTTGAAATTTAACAGACTGCTAACAGGAGCACCTTTTCTCTAAGCCAAGCCAGACTTTCTAAGAGGCAGTAAAAAGTTGGCCCCATGTAGGGCACCTTCTACAGAGTGTAAGTACAACATTATGTACTAGAATATTTTTTAATAAAAAAGGGAGTGAATGAGGGACATGGCAGGTGGCAGGCAGGCTGGCGGGTGGCTTCCCTCTGCTGGCCAATGCAACATAGCTTCCTTTCTTCCTTTAGAGAGCTCACACTGGAGGCATCATAAGAGGAGATGGAAGTGGTGAAATAGGTGGAACCCTACAGACTTTAAATATTTGAAAGGCTCTGATCTGAAGAAGAGTATATACACATGAATATAAGTCAAAGAGAGAAAAGATACACACTTCTAGCAACCAGAGCATCTGCCAGAGAGGTGGATTCACTGGTCTCTGGAGCATCCAAGTGCGACATGGTACCACAGATACAGAGTCCCATTCAATGAGCAGGCTCAGTGGACATGGCTGTGCTTGAATTCTAGCCTCGCTAACTAGTTACAGATGTAAGACCTTAAACCTCCTTTGTCTCCCTTTATATGTAAGATGGGAAAATTCTCACCTGCTCCACAATTGAATGAGATAATGTGCATAGTGTACTAGGCACAGTTCCTGCTCAAGAAACAGTGGCCATTATGGATTTTGGAACAGGAGCTCTTCCAGGAAACTGATAGCTTTATGGCTGTTTGAGTCATTTGGGTTCTCCCTGATCAGCCCTCTACATTTGATATTGAGCTTATCTTTGATCTCAAGGAAAATAGGGCAATATTGTCAATATTCATAATCATTAAGATCTTTGGTAAAAATAGGTTTTGTTCTATTTTTGAAAAAATAAGTATAGTTTAACATTTGCTTTTTCCTCATGAGGAAAGTCCAAAAGAGCATAGACACATCAGCAATCTCAATAATATCTAAATACTCAGGGATGGGCGTGTGGCCCTCCACAAGTCCTTTTAGGAACAAATATTACCAAGGAGGAAACCGTGGCTTTCTTTATCAGCCTTGCCATTAAATTAATTACTGGATTTCTTCTTTTATAACACATAATTGAAAGCTTGCCATTTAAATAATGCCTGAAAGACTCAATAATGTGTTAAAGTTCCAGCAGCCATCCACCTTCCCTATTTAATTCATTGGAAATAAATGATCAACTTTGGGTACATCTTTCTGCTAGGAAAGTCAGCTTTATCAGCCTAGATAAACAGTTTATTTGCTATAAGTCTCATGAATTACTGAAAATAATGAGACCTTCCTGCTTTGGGAAAAACCCTGCAATCAAATAGACATTGAGACATCATTACATGGTTACTGTAAACACAGATTGTGCAATATTCAGAGAATATTTTTCCAAAGGTGAAAATCCAGGGTAAGACCTGACTCACGCAGCAGACTTCTTATGTTACAGTATTGAAATTGACTTTGCAATCAATTTCAAATTTAATACAGAAGTTTCCTGAATAAGTACATATGGCTTCAAAATTAACAAACAAAATTACTTTTTAATGTGCTGATTTTGTCATTCAAGAAATTGTAGATGAGCTATTTTTAAATGTAAATATACCTGGAACAATCTATCATAAATCTTTTCTGTTTTATACAGCTTTTTCTCTTTAAAAGTTATATCTAAGTTACAGTAATTATTAATTATTAAAATTTCTCAAATGATAAGACAACTAGGAAGTTCAGATTCAGTTCTTTTGCTTAAAAAAAAGTGTTAGTTAACATGGAGATAGTACAATAGTGTTCAGATTCTACATATATTGCTTTACTTGATTCTCTTGTCTACTCTGTAAAGAAAGCAGCAGAGAAAATTTCATTAGCCCTGTTTTTCAGGGTAGAAATAGAGATATCAAGCATTTAGTATTTTTGCCTCACATCACTGAGGTAGGAGGTAGAAGACTAGAGCTCAGAGTGCTTCCTTTTTCAAGTCCTCTGCAATTTCCACCCCATGACTATACTGCAAATGACAGTGGCGAAGTTCTTTGGAAACATAAACTAATTCATTTTCATAAACTTGTATTTGGAAACACAGGTTAAATAGAGGTTAAAACTTTTTTTTTAATGGCCTTCCCTGGTGGTGTAGTGGGTAAAGCACAGCATGAAGAAGCTAAAGCCACTTCAGCATGAGTTCAATCCTCGCCCCTGACCCACATGGCGTGGCAGACCTCTCCTGACCCGCCCGCTGCTCCCCTCAGCAGTGTACTTCATCGATCTGCCTGTTGTGCTCCCCACTCTGTCTCTGGTGAATCCTCTTTCTGCACCTGCGCCTCTGGCCTTACCCCAGTTCTGTATGCAGAAGTAAATAAATCTTTTAAAAAAAAAACAAAAAACTTTTCCTTTTACTTTGTTGAAACCCAGAGAAGCATGTTCATCACAAAAACTGTGTATATACACATTATTCATGAAGAAAAACTGCACACCACTACCTCAAGTTATTTACCAAATAGGAAAGGTGCCAAATAGTACACATGATGAAGTACTGGAAGCATCTAAGTCCATTGCCATGGCCTATTTGCCAGCAAGAATGCTAATTAAGCTTACTAAGTTTGGTATTGGTATCTTATAATATCACATTTTTGGGTTAAAAAATCACAGAGCAATGACGTCACCTCTTGGGATCTCTACAGGGAATCCAGTCTACTTTCGGGTCTGGGATGTCCTCCAGATAGGGATAAATGGTCTCTCTTGTGAAGACCCAGCCATAAACACCATCTTCTGGAGTCACTATGATATGTGCACCCTGTTCAAAAGAGTGGGAGCAAAGATTTTCTCAAAAATTCCAAAATCTTGCGCTCACCAAGTTTCAAACTTCCTTTTCAACAACCCAACCAGGGCAGAAAGGGTTATACCTGTCTGGCTGCCAGTTTAACGGCTTTCTCCAACACATCTAAGTTCTTATTCATAAGGAGCAAAGCTTCTTCTTTTGGAACAGCTGTTTCCGTTCTGTTTGGTAGAATCACAGCATGCTCATACACTGCAGCAATAAAGGTCTCTAGGGCACCAACACTCAGGATGAGGAGGGCAAAAACTGCCACACAATTTGGAAAATATGATGAAATCATAGCTAGAAATTTGGGCTCTTTGATGAACTCAGATTTTGTCTGACTGGGAAAAAATCTTCTAAGGCAAAGTCTTGCTCTGTAGCAGCTATATATATTTCTCCAGTGAACATTACACAACACGACACTGAGAAGGGATGTTGTGCAAGAAACCTGTCAGAAGTACATGGCTGGATTGTTTCAAATATGCAGGGCTTTTGTTGACACTTTGATATTATTCACAGCTACATAAAACTCTAAGACTAGAATTAATGAGCCCATCAGATGAATCCAAAACACACTGACTAGAGAGCTCTCTTCTTTCTATCCATGATATCTTCCCTGTTATTCAATATTTCCTTGAACAGGGCCAATACTAAACTGTCCTGGAGGTCAGCCACGGTAACAGCTTGTTGAGTCATTAAGGACGTAGCTGTGACAGACACAGAAGAGTCCAAGGTAAGCCAGCCCCAATTTTTTTTTTTTTAAGATTTATTTATTTATGCACACAGAACTGGGGTATAAGCTAGAGGTGCAAGGGCGGTGAGAAGATTCACCAGAGACAGAGTGGGGAGCAAAACAGGCCAACTGACGAAGTACACTGCTGAGGGAGCAGCGGGCGGGCCAGGAGAGGTCTGCCGCGCCATGTGGGTCACCTCCAGGGTGGCTACCTCTGGGGTGGGGATCGAACTTAGAATGAAATAGCTGCGGCTAGCTTCCAGTGCTATATCCTAACGGTGGAGTTTTTTTTTTTTTCTTTTCTAATTCTTACTTGATCTAGGGAAGTTATTAGGTTTGGTGTATTTGTGTCTTTTTTTTTTCGGTTTGGTTTGGTTGGTTAATTTGGCTCTATAATTCATAACCTTTCAATTAAAGTGAACTTTTCCATTATACAAATACTCCTTCTTCTCCTAAGTTTCCCAGTGTGTTTCCATGTGTCTTTATGTACTAAAATTGAGACTGAAATATCAAATGCCCAGGCCTGAAGTCTCTCAGCCAGAACCAGATCCCGGGCTGCATGGCAGTGCTGAGTCCCGGTCACTAGCCCATCACACTGGAGTCTCACCAGGCAGCAGCAGGAACTTCGCAGATGCTCAGGCAAGTAAGTTGAGGAGGCAAATTGGTTTAAAGAAAGTTTTAAAAAGTTTATTGAGGAGAAAAGGAACAAAAATAAAGTGGGACTTCCAGGCTGATGGAACCAGGGCAGGGAGGGACAACAGAGCCAAGTGGAGTCTAGCTTTAGGGAACACAGGCTTCCTTGCCTAATTACTCTAAAGCCTACCGTCTCTCCATGATTTGTTAGTTCTCAGTGGTCTCAATCACTGTCATAATGTCTCTGTGCCCAGAACCAACTCTCTGTGTCCCAGCCCTTATCTCAGATCCTTTTTCTTTATTGTCCTTGCTCTGGAATGTCCTGTTGCGTTGCCCCCAGTCCTGGGGGATTTGTTGCCCTCCTTTCCAGTGCCTCCTTTAACTATTCTGAAGTCCCTAAGGCTGCCCAATGACCCTTAACTTTCCTTAGGTCTCAAAATATATCCATAATGTGCAAATATATTTCAGAGAGAAAATATCTCAGGATGATGAGATAGAAACTGTAAGACAGGACATTTGGGGGATAAATAGGGGCACGATTGCATCTCTTTCCCTCTCTCTTGCTCCGTGACGCAGTGTTTTCAGTCAGTCAAGTGGGTAAGGTATTCCGGTTACTTTGTGTTCCTCTCTCTTTCCCTGGGTTGTTTCCTATTCCTTTCCCCTTTTGTTAATAAACCCGTTATTGACCATAAAAAAAAAAAGAAAAGAAAAGAAAAGAAAAAGAAACTGTAAGACAGATAGATGGTTTTGTAATAAGAAGAAAGGTTCACATTTTAAGTTGAGTTTCTAGCTCCTGTCTTGGTTTACCTGATATCCTGAATAGAGTAAAAAAAAAACGTGGAGATGCCCCTCCACTCTCCCAGCCCCTAATTCCAAGAATTGCTCCATTTTTATGATGTTGAAATCAATAGAAATCTGGATTGTTTTTAATTGCCACATGTGATTAGTAACGCTTTGACTTCACACGTATGTAGGGAATAGGAAGTGTGGGAATAGGAAGTGTGGGAATAGGAAGTGTGGGTACAGGCTATTTTGACAAGGTATTTGTATATAACTTGAAGGACAATTTGAAGCTATTGTGGCATTAAGTCCAGGGCTCTCCCTGGTGATGCAAGGGGTTTAAAAACAGCATTTGAAACTCTGCAGCCACTGTAGTCCAAGTTCTGTCCTGAGAAGTTGACCTACAAGGTGAGGCAGGCTGCTCCTGTCTCTCCCCTCAGCAGTGTGTTTCAGTACATCTGCCTGGTCTGCACTCCACTCTGTCTTTGACGAATCCTCTCATCCCACCCCCAACACCTCCGGCCTGTACCCCAGTTCTGTATGCATAAATAAATAAATCTTAAAAAAAAAAAGAATTGAGATTTATGTAATCACTGCAACAGAGCTGCCCTTAATTGAGATCAATGAGGTAGGTCTACATAAACAGCACAAGTGATAACAGTTAACAAAGCTGAAGCTAATGGAATACACTAGAGTTCCAAACTGTACCTTTTGTAAAAACTATAATAGAGATTAGGACGTCAGCGTACAATAGACTTCCAAAATAGCGTCACGTTGTCATAACCATAAGAGAGCTGAGTGAAATTGATGCAATACAGTGGTGTAATTGATTTCTCCGTGAAGTCCAGCTCGGTTCCCGTGGTGGGAACTACCCTGGATAATTTGTCATTGACCTTAAACTCTCAGCAGTCTACATAGCTGGTAATGGTAAAAGGATGGGGACCCTAGCGACTCCAGTAAGCTCTGTGGCCTATTGGGACATCAAGCTCCGCTGCAAACCGACCAGCCATCTCCTCGGCGCTGCAACAGCGGCCTCTTGCGGCGGCAGCGGGAACTGCAAACCCCGAGAGGCGTCTGTAGGTCCTTCAGTGGAGGCGACCCCACAGAAGCCACAACTAAAGAAGAAAACTTTGAAAGCGGGGTTTTAAGCCAGGACAGCCTGGAGTTGGCCCTATTCTGGACCTCTCATGGATGCAGCAGGCTGGGGCTACAACACTCCATCCGGAACTGCTCCGGGAAGGCAGGAAGAGAAGTAGGCTACTAGTGCTTGTGAACCGACCATCTTCTCCCACAGGCAGCTGCGCCAAGCCGCCAGCGGCCCTCCATCGCTCCATCATTCCCAACCTTTGTAGAGTCGCCCTTCCTCCGGTATGAAAAGGTATCCCGGCATGGTTCAATCTGCCCATTCAAGATTCTTCCTCATCTCACTAAGGCATAGCCATTCACCCATACCCTCATGTCCAAAGTGAGGAATCATCTGAAATTCCTTTCTTCACCTCAGCAAGTCTTGTTGGTCTCACTTCCAAACACACTCATTTCTGTCCATCTCCATCATCACCTCCAAGGTCTGAAGCATCGATATCTCTCCAAGCTTCCGATGATTTACTGTAACTCTGCTAATAATCCTTCTCCTCCCCTCAGGAGAACTTCCTGAAATGTAAATAAAAACTTGACATTCCCCACCAAAAGCTGTCTCTTCACTTCCCCAAACCCTCCTGTTAAGGAGGTGCCACCTGTGGGTGGGCCATGGACCCATCTCTGACCTGTCAAGCCCAGTGCTGAGTACTGCACTCCCCTCAAAACAGCTGCCTCATTCTCCACTTTCCTCTCTTAGGTCTGCACTCCCACCTCTGTGAAAAGGCCTCATTTAAATTAGGGTCACATATCAAAATAATCCCAGTCAGTTATTCTTTCCTATCAATGTTTTGTCCTTCACAGTATCTCTGTAAATAATTACATTTTCTGGTGTTTTATTGTTTGTCCCTTCCCTTGGGACATAAGTTCCCTATCAAGCAGAAATTGTTTTTTACTCTCCATATAGCTAAGGTTTTGTTTGCTTTGTTCACAGCCCATCCCTAGCACCTGGTCCATCTGTTCAGAGAAACTTTCAAAAAATAGTCTTCAATTAATAAATAGATAAAAAGCATTTATTGTTTTTAAAAACAATTTACTTATTTTTGCATACAAGAGCTCGGGTATAGACCAGAGGTGTGGGAAGGGGAGTTAGTGAAAGGATCCACCAGAGACAGAGTGGGGAGCAGAACAGGTGGCTTGACTGAAATACACTGCTGAGGGGAGCAGCAGAGAGACAAGAGAGGTCTGCTGCGCCATGTGGGTCAGCTCCCTGGCCAGAAATAACTTCATAGTTCTGAGACTTGATGCCTTGTGCCACCAGGAAGGCCCTCTAATCTATGTTTTTGGTTTTTTTTTTAAGTAAATATGGCTACTTCCCCATGAAAATGTATCAGGAGAGTTGTACCACAGAGATTCACTCATTTCCAAAAACACAATGAGTTTTACATGCAGTCACAGGACCACTTCACTAAGTAGAGCAAGCATTTCTGTCAGCTCTCTTGTTCTGGGAATGGGATACACCTACTAGGAGTATGTTAATTTTTTTTAATGATATAAATGAGACAGACATTAAAAGAAATAATGTCGTATCAACATTATTTTTAAAGTCAGATCATAATTTCAAAGTGTATTACAAATATGGAAGTCTTAACAAATGTTATTCTGTACCTTTCATAGAAATCAAATTTCTAGAAGAGATGAAGACGAGGGAATGACAGAGGAATTTGGCATGGTAGGCAGGGATTTTTGCCTTTTAAACAAAAGCAAAAATCTCAGGGCACCTAGAAATTACATCTATTAAAAACGGATTTCATAGTAATCGTTCTATATAGCTTTAGTTTATATACTTTTAAATATATCAAATCAATTCATTTCTTTCCCAAATAATAAAAAGAATACATTCACAGAGTCAGTGTTCTTAGAATAAAATAAAATTAAATACAGGAAACAGGAGACCTGGAGTCATTTACATCGTTGAAGGTAAGTTTGGTCACTTAAAAACACAAGCTTTCATTGATTGTCAACTGTTCTCCTCCTTAATGTTTCCAGTATGGCTGGTTCAGCAGCTAGCTCTTCAGCACAGTAGTTAACTACAGCTGAACACAGGATAATCCAAAAATATGTTACCATTTTCCAGAGGCTGATACGGAGTCCATGGAGTGCCAGGCATAAGATAAGAAAACCCTTCCAACTTTGATGTTCAAGGCCAGAGACCTCCATCCAACCCTGCATCAATCCAGGATTTGGAAGACTTGATTTAATCAGGCAGGAGTGCAGCTCGATCTTCCTCTGTGCTGAGACTATTTTGAAGTTTAGAATTACATCAAGGGAAATAAAATAATTTTAGTATCTGTCAACTTAAAACAACTTAGTACCTTTATTACCACCCAACTATTAAATGCATTAAATGCATTGCTTTAAACTTCAGTGATGAGATTCAGAGGGCCTGAAAATGTGACCAGAGGAATGGATATATAGCATTTCTTTTCTACTCCTAAAGTCTGGTTTTGAAAGGAGAAAAGAGAAGCTCAAAGGTTGACCATACCTTTGTCTTTTTCTTGAGTGCTCAAACAGATAAAACAAGGCCATTGATAATCCCTGTAACACAATTAATCCATTAGTGTTAATGCTCCCAGTCATATTTCTTCACAAACACAAGGCAAATGAAAATAAAAATCTGATTACTCACACTTACTAAAGCCCACAGACCTTGGATAGCAGCTGCCCATTCAAAACCTATTTTCTCATAGAGAAATCCACCCAGCACTGGACCTACAAAAGCGCTGACAATGAAAAGAAGAAAGAATATGGAAGAGTTAAAAGGAGTTACTTTCTAAAGACTACATTGTCTTTCAGTCACAGGTATTCACTAAACTGAAAAATGATGACCTTTAACATTTCTCAACAATTCTAAAAATTACAACTGTTTCTTTCTGCAAAGTTGGTACCTTGCATGGAAATACAGGAAAGATGACATGTGTTCAAAAGAATATTTTTATTATATCAACATAAATTATAAGCTATAATAATAATTTTATTATTTTCCCTACACTATAAGTATTTGTATTTAACATAATTTAACTCAGAATGTACAGAGTTATATTTATTGGTATCTACATTGTCAGTGTACAGTTACCCTCTGGTTTAGCATAAAGTAAAAAAATAAACAACGAAATGTTTAAAACTGAGATATGTTCCTATTAAAGGAACTTAAAAATACCAGTTAAAGGGCCCTCCATGGTGGTGCAATGGGTAAAGTGCAGCACTACGAAGCTCTTGCAACCACTACAGCACGAGTTCTATCTCCAGCCCCGGATATGACCCACATGGCGCTGCAGACCTCTCCTGACCCGCCCGCTGCTCCCCTCAGCAGTGTATCTGCTCAATTGGCCCATTCTGCCTCTGGTGAATCCTCTCACCCCTGCACCTCTGACCTGTACTCCAGTTCTGTATACATAAATAAATACATCTTTAAAGACAAAAAAATACCAGTTAAAACGACCATGCGTTTGAGATCATTTGACAAGGTATTAAAACAGCTGGTCTAACCACCAGTTATGGTGTCAGAATTCTAGCACTGCCCTAAATGAATTCTATGCCTTTGGACAAGTCATCTGACCCCTCATGTCTCTCTTTCTTCATCTGTAAATGTGGATCATACTTTCTATCTTGCAGAGGTGAAAGAAATTCAAAGGCTACTCACCCAACAGACCACATTGCACCAAAGAGACCTGACACCAGTCCCAATGTACTCAGTCCTTCCTCAAACCCATTTTCACTGCCAAGAGAGACAAGTGTTTACTTAATATTAAAAGGAACAGCTGCTTGGAAGAGAAGTGCATGACAGATAAAACAGACCAAGGGTAACTGGGACAAAATCGACTGCAAGAGCACTCCATTGCTAAGCTAAAAAGCTAATGTAATTGAAAGGAATTTTTCCAGCATGTTTACTCCATAGGTTACTTTATTGCATATATAACATACAACAGAAAAGTACCCATACAAATATGTGATTAACTAAGAAAGTCTGAAAATGAGATTAACATGTTAAGATGGACAGCTATCAGAAAATGTAGGAGCAATGCTTTATTTCTATGAGATCAGTGACAAAGTCTGCCTGCTCAAGTTCACCTTATGTTCTTTATCACCAAACATACTGGTGAGAGGATGAACTTTTATGAAATTCATCCATGAGAGAGGAGCAATTACTGAGGCCTTTCCATTGTACTTTGACTTTCTAAAAGTCTATCTGTGCCCAGATATAAACCAAGCCAAGGTTCCATCTTTATTCCACTTTACCTCTACTGAGTATCTCCATAAATGATCATTCATTTTATTTATTGTATAGCTACTAATGCCACAATATTACAAGATATGAAATCATCAATATTTAATACTGTAAAGAGATATCCATTATCCTACAAACTGAGAAATTCATAATGCGCTGTGATGCCCAAGGTTGGTAAGTTTACAGGTCTGTAAGCAACAGAGTAACTTACTATGCACAGCTGAGCACCTCTGGGAAAGTTGGGATGATGCTCATTCCAGCAGAGATACCATTTATGACTAATATCAGGATCAGCATCCAGAGCTGACTGCAGAAGTGGGTGGGATGTAAAAAACAAAAATCCATTAGCATTTTAAAGGAGACAAAGCTTCAGGTGAAAGAGGGCATGTAGAACCCCAGAGAAGTTCATTTCTCAGATGACGTGCTGCTTCTCATTCCTGTCTGATCCAATTTCATTCAGTGATCACACCACTTAGCTCCTTACATTCTGGAGGAGGAAAACAGTGAATTCATCCTGGTATTTTAATTTCTTATTCCATGCCTTGAGTCAACCTGCCTTCTTATCACCATACAAAATCCGCCCCAAACTGGTTAAAATAGCAATGCAAATGATTCCCCTTCAATGGTTTGCTTTGAAATTCCATTGACTAGAAAATGATGTCAGCTACTGAACATCCACCACCCCATTTAATCCCTGCAGCACTCTGCCATGTCAGTACTATCATTAGCTCCTATTTGTAGATAAGAAAGTTGAGGCTCTTGTAAGTGAAGTGATTTGTCCAAGTTCACATATTTATTGACAGCCAGGCAAACACAGGATCCAAATCCAAATCTGAAGGACTCTGAAATCCTTTGTCTTTCCATACCATGCTTTATTCCAGAGTACCTGAAAAGGTCTAAGAAGCTCACTTCATTTTAGCAAATAAATTATAGCTTACAAACTTTAATGAGCAGCTACTACATGCTAAGGATGATCAAGAAACAAAGAAGATTTGGTCCCTGCCTCAAGGAACAAGTGGAAAATATCAAAACATTCTAAGAACTATCAACAAAAGGTAGATAACAAAAAATGTTATTTTTAGTACCAACGATCTAGTGTGCAGTTGAAACATGACAGTTGAATAAGCATTTTTCTCACTGCATGAAGAAGATTTTATGTATTCTTATTTTCTTGTACCATGTTAGCCTCTAGTAAGGTAAAATAACAATTCAGTAGAGTCCTAAAACATGGTAGTTACAGTACTCTTGAAGAGCATGGGTTCAAACTGTGAGGGTTCACCGACATGGGATTTCTGTCAATAGCATGACCTTGTGATTTTCTTAGTAACACTTTTTTCTCTAGTTTATTGTAAAAATGCAAGCTTTAATACATGTAGCATACAAAATATCTGTTGTTTGTTTATAACATTGGCAGGGTTTCCATTCAACAACAAGTTATTGGAAGTTATCTTCTGGGGGGAATCAAAAGTTACATAAGGGGTTGGTGTGACTAACCAACATTGTTCAAGGGCCATCTGTAGTAAAATAATAAGGTTCAAGTGTTAAGCCATACCAGTATGACATCAAAAAATTTTGAAGTAATTCCTAATGCTATTCAGCAAAAAATACAAAAAAAGAACAAAATTACCTTTTAATGTGCAGGACTGGGGCTGGTCCTAAAAGCATGTAGCACCCTGCAGTGATTAAGCTTCCAAAAACCAGAAACCATTTCCTTAGATGCTGGTAAAGAAAGTTAAAAAAATCTCTTAGAGATAAAGAGCCTCCATAGTAGAGGGATATAAAAAATTATTAAAGACACAAGTCATGACATTTAAAAATCAAAATATACGAAAGGAAGTGCAACATCACACTGAAAGAATATAGGTAGCTGACAGGCTCAAAAGCAAGGACTCTGTACCCCAAGAAAGAGCGCGTGATTGGATATTTGCATGTGGTGAACTAGTTTAAATATAGCAATTTAAAAAGCACTCACCACAAAGAAACACATACTAGTCACAATACTAGGAAAAGTCATACTCTTAAAGAGTACCCACTAAAATTATCCTTTATAAACTAGTTGAGTACAGGCCAAAAAGTATAAGACAATATCTATTCAGTTAAACAAGACTCTTAATATCAAACTTTAAACACCATATAAGGCATTTGCTGCTAATCAACCAGAGTACTAAATAATACTCTTTTACTGAGGTCTGATAACTCTATAGGCAAATCAAATAAAGAAGGGAAATGCAAGAAGTATGTACTGAAGAGACAGAAGTGTGAGATCTGGCGAACAGTCATCCGTGTTGCGTGGTTTAGATCTCTACAATTAAAGGACCAGGATTTTCTGTCCCGATGTCTCAGGGATAATCAGGCTTATTTCCGTGGTACTCCTTTCGCACTCCATTCAACGCACTCTTGTCCGAATTATTGGAGTCAACCATTGTTTAGTGTCAAGGGAACTTTTTCCTTTAGAAAGTCTAATCCAATCGTTTTTCAACAGCTTTATCACATGACTTCCCTTTCTAGATGAAGTAATTAAAAGTAAATCTGCTCAAGGACAGGGCAGGTTGGAAGGCACTGGGCTTCACACTTGAACTTTTTGATAGTTGAATATATTAGAATGTAATATATTAGAACTTAAATGTCCTCACCAACTCTCCCCTTCCCCCCAAAATAAGATACATATTTGAAGGATGGATATGTAAATTACCTAGATGAAAGGGTCCTGCCACAAAGTATATCACACTAAATTGCCAAGATGTGTACTTTAAAATACCTTAAAATGGTGTTCATTCTATGTCAATAAAGCTGATTTTTTTTTTTTTAAATGACTATGTCAAGAGCTCTAGAGTTCTGGAGGTACAGCTGAAAATCTCACAGGTCTAAACACATAAAAACAATACTTAAATATAAATTAAAGTGTACATACTGGCCTTTTATCACTTAGTAGACCAAATAATGGTGAAAAAACCATGTAAAACAGAGCCAGCCCCAGGTACACGAGGCCCACATATCCAGCTGGTAAATGAAACTGCAAAAGAAATTCCGCATTAAGGTTGTCAGGTTCAATGTTTTTTAAGTAGATCTCTAGCTTTTCTGTCTTCCAGTTTTTTCAGCTCCTTTTATCTACCATAAATAACCTTCAACATCCTTCCAAATGGGTTTCATTTTATCTTTGGGGTGGAGTCAGCAGTCCTAGATATTTTGCTCTGTAGTATCAGACATTAAATACATTTATGCTTCCTTGAATCACAGCATTTTTACAGGTACATCAGTCTTGCAAACTTGACAATGCACACAAATTATCTGGAGATGTTGTTTAAAAAGGTTCTTGGGCCTCAACCCTAGAATTTCTGATTTAAAAATTCTAGAATAGGGCCTAAGAATTTGCAAGGTTCCTGGTGAGTTGACTGTCCACAGATTGATGTGATTAATGTGAAAACACTGACAATACTATCTATTCTGTCCATCACAAAAGGGCATCATACCTAACAAAAGAACTAGATTCATGTGTGAACTTATACACCCATACATATACAATGTCATAAATCAATGTAACCATGATAAACATATCTTTAAAATATAAAAATTTTAAAAATTAGATTCATGACATTTTAAAACAGTATGCTCCCATATAACTCTAAAGATACTGTCACTAGTACTAACATAACAAATGCTTTTTCTTAGTTATCTGAATTGTTCTCATTTGTCTTAACTTCCTTAATTAATTTTCTGGCTTAAGTTGGGAGATTTATTTATGAGTCAGGGTAGGTTGTTTTTGGTTTTTTTTTTTAAGATTTATTTTTATTTATTTATGCATACAAGAACTCGTGTGGGTGGTAAGAGGATTCATCAGAGGACAGAGTAGGGGGCAAAACAGGCGGATTCACTGAAATACATGGCTGAAGGGAGCAGCAGGTGGAATAGGAGAGGTCTGCTGTGCCAGGTGGAATATTTCCCTGGCAGGGAATGGACCTCATGTGACAGTGGCTGGTGACAGCTTGGTTACTATTTGTTTTCTATTGTTCTGGCACTGCTTTTTTAATCATAGTGCTGCAAATAAATTCAATAAAGGTTATACCTAGTGGATTTCCACCTTTATATACACATATTAATTTTCTAGCATAATTAACTATAAAACCTGATGATACACTTTATTACATTATTAAAAAATTTTCAATATACTAAACAAATTTCTATGGCATTAAACATTTAAAATGTACTTATTTTTCAGTACTAAAAAAACAAAGACTCTCAGGTCCTTTTTTCATTCCAGACTAATATAATCCAGCATTATGATATGCAATAGGACCTTTCTGGTGGTATATGGTTAAGTCTCAGCACTAGGAAGCTATTGCTAATCACTGCAGCCTGAGTACACTCCCCTGCCAGGGAGGTGACCCACAGGGCACAGAAGAATCTTGATTCACCCATTGTTCCCCTCAGCAGTGTAGTTCAGTCAATCTGCCTGTTCTGCTCCCCACTCTGTCTCTGGTGAATCCTCTCACCCCTGCACCTCTGGCCTATACACCAGTTCTTCTATATATAAATAAATAAAACTTTAAAAAAAATTATGCAATACCCAAAAGGTAACTGGGCCTTAGGGAAGAAGTTTAATGTCAACCTCATATTAAATGAGCCACTGGGTACCCCCTAATGCCTCGGTGGAATTCAAACTAATACAGGAATTCTCTAGTTAAGCAGACCTATGATGAACTGAGCAAGGACGTGGTAAAGAGGCCAATATTTAGTCACACGGTGAACGTTCTCTTCCATTTACACTGAATCAGACCCCTGCTTACAAGGATTTACACTGAATCAGACCTCTGCTTACAAGGTTGTTACAGACGGAAGACACTGGTTCCCATAGAGTGATTTTTCCCATTCTGCCTACTTCTCTCACCCATGCAGGGGACTCTGCACAAAAGAAACATGTCTACCTGCTACAATGTACAGTGCTCCATCCACAGGCTAATTACCTTCTCCAAAACAAAGAGAGACAGCGTAGGATCCAGGAAGCCCAAACACGAGCTGAGTGAGATGATGACGAAGGCTATCAGGCCAACCTTGGGTAAAGTGATAAGTTTCCAGAATGAGTGTTCATTGGGATCAGACACTTTAGAGGGGATAATTGAAAAGAAAAATCAGGGTAATTAAAGTCACTTAGTTTTATTTTTTAACCTATAGTAAAATTGTCATAGCTATCGTTACTGGCAATCAAAATAAGTACACTTCTCAGTTTGCCTAAAATAGTATATTATCTAAATTTGCACACAGTGTTCAAATCTAGAAGCACATTCTCAAATTCAAAAAGTCAGTTGGAATCACAGTATGAGAAGAAGGGGCCTAAGGTATGACCTAGAAGCAAGGAAGACCTTCCCAGGTAGAACAGGAAGGTGTGGCATTTCATGTAGTGCATGGAAAAGCCAGAGGCCTAATCAAGGAACAATATTTGTGTACTAAGGAGAAGTCTGACTTAATCAAAGGACACAAGGCAATGCTTTCTCTGCCAGCAATGGAAATACTGCACTGAAAGGCATTCCAAGAGTAATAATATACCAGTTATATTATGTCTAAAGGACAAACTTCAGATGATCTGACAAAAGAGGAGAGAGAAACCCAGGACTGTTATTCCAGGAATGGTATAGTCCAGGATTCAGAAGTGAGAAAAAAATTACTCCATCTTTGAGAAAAGGCAAGAAGAACAGGAAAGTTGGATGGAGATTGCACAGGGACACCTGTGGCATGGAAATGCCCACACTGCAGAAGAATGCAGCAAAAGGACAATATAGGACTTAACGCAAGCTGAAAAGTTAGAGAAATCACTTGGAATTTCAAGAAAGGAGTGAGAATCAGATCTGAGATTCGAAGAGAACTTTCTGTTCTCAAGGAGAATGGAGACAGGGGCGCAGCCTTGAGTGGTTGCAGTGTCCTGGTTGGGGCCAGACAAGGAAGCCCTCTGAATGCCAGGAACAGCACGTGTCTGTCCTCATTTCTCCAACAGCACCCTCAATGGTTTATCACTCAAATTCTTTTTTTTTAAGATTTACTTTTATTTATTTATGCATACAAGAATTGGGGTGTAGGGCAGAGGTGTGGGTGTAAGAGGAGCAAAGTATAAAAACCATAGAGTGGTTCCACAATTTTAAGCATTACATTTAGACTTCATCACAATGTGAGTGGTAAACTTAGAATATGGCCTTAAATTTTAAGTTATTGGGCCATCCCTGGTGGTTCAAGGGGTTAAAGTGAAGCACTATGAAACTATCCATGGACACTGCAGCATGAGTTTGGTCCCCAGCCAGGATGTGACCCACATGGCCGACAGATCTCTCCTGACCTGCTCGCTGCTCCCCACAGCAGTGTATTTCAGTCTGACTGTTCTGCTCCCTACTCTTGTCTCTGGTGCATCCTTTCACCCCCTGAACCTCTAGCCTGTTCCCCAGTTCTTGTATGCATAAATATCTTTAAAAAAAAAAAAGTTTTCAGTTATCAACAAAATACTCAACCATGACTCAAACCTGAGCAAAAGCCAGGAAGTTCAACTTCAAAAGCAGCATGCAGTAGAATTAAAGGATACCACCACCAAGTGGCTGAGTGTGGTAGTAGCAATGGGAGGCCTAACTGGATTTTGAATAGCGTGTGAAAACGTTCATCAGTCACCTTTGAAATATAAATCATAAAAGATCAAATGTAATTGGGTACATTTATTGTGCACAAAAAGGCATTATGGGATTATAGTATAAAGCCAACTATTACAGCAAAATGTTCCCCTTCTCTAAATGCAAAGTAGGAAAAGGGGTTATCACAATACTATAGATAAGAATGTTCACGAAGGGCCTCCCTGGTGGCACAGGGTTAAAGTCTCAGTGCTATCAAGCTATCACTGCCACTGCTGCATGAGTTCAGTCTCCAGCCAGGGAACTGACCCACATGGCACAGAAGACCTCACCTGTCTTGCCCACTGCTCCCCTCAGTAGTGTACTTCAGAAGATCTGACTGTTCTGCTCCCCATTCTGTGGTGAACCCTCTCATCACCCTCACCTCTGTCCTACATCCCAGCTTTTATATGCATAAACTGATAAAAATAAATCTTTTAAAAAAATATTCATGAAAAGAAACATGATGAAATTAATGAAACTGTTGAAGAAGTTCACAGTGGTATCACCTGGGGTGGTATCTGCTTCAGAGTCACCATCAGGAGCTGTTCTAAGCTACTCATCGCTGTTCTCTGATAAGATACATTCTTTGCAGAGGAATGGAAGTCTGTGGCTGACAGTGTCTGCCACAAGAAACTACTGTTGGTGATGGGGGAAGTCAGACACCCTCAGGTGTAAGGGGTCAGGAAAAAAACTCCTGAGCACTACAGCACCACTTACTCATCCCTTAGTACTATGACATTCAGGAAAATTTCCCAGAAAAGGTAAAACAAATTATGTTTTGAAGTATGAGTAGGGTTAGGTTAAGTGGGAGGAAGATATTCTAGATCTGGCTTCTCTGCTAGAATCTAACAAGGTCCTAATGGTCTTTAGGATAAAGCTCATGTTTCTGCCATGTGCATCACCTCCGGGGCCAGGGATCGAACTTACACTGAAGCATCTGGCCAGCTTTGCAGTGCTGCGCTCCAACACTACCAGGGAGGGCCCTGGATTTTCTTTTTAAGATTTACTTATTTATGCATACAAGAACTGGGCTACAGGCCAGAGATGAGGGAGTGTGAGGATTCACCAGAGACAGAGAGGGGAGCAGAACAGTCAATGTATTGAAATACACTGCTGAGGGGAGCGGCAGGCTAGGCACCATGTGGGTCACCTCTGGCCGGGGATGAACTCGAGCTGCAGTGGCTACAGACAGCTCCACAGTGCTTTGCTTTAACCTGTTTTGCCACCAGGGAGAGTTCTAAATTTAGGGATTTTCAGTAAGTGGATTGCCAAGTCCATACTATGTTTAGAAACATTTCTTTAGAGCAGGACAAAAGATGAGTGTAAAGGACGAGGGAGAGGAAGGGACTCAATGTTAAAGCCATACTGTCTGCTGGGCCAGAGGAGTAAAGACATGGGGTAGAATGCAGAGAATATAAAATTCTGCCCATAATAAATAACATAAACAAAAATTTCTACTTTTCAATAATTTCTTCCATGGTTGGTAAGATCTGTGATACACATGAATTCAAATAAATTGGTTGCCTGCAGAGACATTTCTAGAGAGAATCAGTCCTTTCAGGGTACTAAGAAAAATTTTATTGCCATATATAAAAAAAAAAAAAGTGAGTCTATGTTAAACTGGTCCTCCAGTTAGGGACAAAAATTCCAAGGTCTTAAAATGAGTGATAAATGTAGCCTTACCATAATTAGGTAAAATATACATATTGAGTGGCACCATCAGCAGAACTATGCATCCCAGAAAAATAAAAGGGACCTCGTAGCCAAAGGACTGATACAAGAAGCCACCCAAAGGAGGCCCTAGTACTAGGCCCAGGCCCGAGAAAATTTCAAGACTTCCCTAAAAATAGGAAAACAAAAGAACTGTTAGTATCATTTGCTTTAAAAGGATTAAAAAAAACTTTAAAAGATAATATCTGAAAAACATTCTTAATACTTCACAACTTACACACACAAAAATGTACCAAAATTGTAAACACATATATTAAAAGCATAAGAGTAGCAGAAAGTAAAAAGTAGGAGGTGCTTTTATTATTTTCAACTCTAATGGTGTGTTTGATTTTCTAAGTATGCCATAAAAACTCACTTCATATATAGTTATAAAATGATCTCCAAGGGGACCCCCCTGGGTTACTATCATCCCTGCAGTCTGAATGTGATCCCTGACCTGGAGTTTACTCACACATGGCACAGACCTCTCCTGACTCACCTGCAACTCCTCTTAGCAGCGTATTTCAAAAATCCACCTCTCTACTCCCTACTCTGTCTCTGGTAAGCCTCTAATCCCCTGCACCTCTGGTCTACACCTAGTCTGTCTATGCAAAAAATAGATAAATAAATATTAAAAAAAAAAGATCTCCAAGGCGATTTCACTTTCAGTGTCATCAGCAAAGCTCTAAACATTGTACAGACTGGGCTATTAATAGTGTAAAGAACGTGAAGGAAGAGAGAATCATGCTTTCTCTGAGAGAGTGTGTGTGTGTGTCCATACACACGTGTGTGCTGTACACAACACATGGAATCACTCTGCAAGAAACCTATAAAATCTGAAGTCTTCCAGAAGACTGATGTTGAACTGGGTGACAACAGGTGTGTTTGTAAAGTCAAGAGAAAAATAATTTATAGAGTACACTCACAAAAACTCATTTTATATATTTACTATCTTCTGTATTTCCTTTTGTAACTTTTGAAATTTTTAACCTGTTTTTGTTGTTGTTGTTAGTCCGAGTTAAATAGAACAGTGCTGTGGGAAAAGTTCACTATAAGAGAAACTACAAACTTTAGAGGCCTCCCTGGTGGCAGCCACTGCAGCATGAGTTCGATCCCAGGCCAGAATGCTAATTGTAGCATGAGTTTGATCCCTGGCTAACCCACATGGCACAGTGGACCTCTCCTGTCTTGCGCACTGCTCCCTGCGGCAGTGTATTTATGTGGATCTGCCTGTTCTGCACCCCACTCTGTCTCTGGTGAATCCTCTCTCACTACCTATACCTCTGGCCGATACCCCAGTTCCTGTATGCATACATAAAGATAAATCTTTAAAAAAGAGAGAAATTACAAACTTTTAATCAATTTAGTTTTTAGGGGTTTTAAGCAAAGACTGACTTGCAACCTTGTATCTTTGGACTTTACACAGTGCATAAAGTTGTCCATTAGGAACTTTCAACATTTCACAGCAAATACACAAATTCCACATTAATCACCATAAGGCCTGTCAGATCAACTGCCCTGTTAAGTGTGTTAGTTTGGGCTGCATTTTTAAAAAAGATTTATTTTATTTACTTATGCATATAAGAGCTGAGTTGTAGGCCAGAGGTAGGGGGTGGTAGGAAGGTAAGAGGATTCACCAAAGTGGGGAACAGAACAGGCAGATCTACTGAAATACACTGCTGAGGGGAGCAGTGGGCAAGACAGGAGAGGTCTGCTGTGCCACATGGGTCAGGTCCCTGGCTGGGGATCGAACTCACACTGCAGTAGCTGCCCACAGCTTTCTAGTGCTGAGACTTAGCCCCTTGCTCCATCAGGGAGGCCCTGGATTCCCTTTTATCTAGAACTTGATAGGGCAACACTTGTCTCCACTGCTGGTCAGAAAATCAAATAAACCTGTTCCATCACCTTTAAGGAACAGGAATTCCCTGAGCAGCACTTTCCACAGAATACCAATTTTTTGAGAGTTAACAAGAGTTGTTTGAAAAACATGATTCCACCATCAAAACTGAGTCATGCAACATTACATAAAGTATCATTACTATAGGATTTCCAGAGCCTTAAAACACTAGTGTATAATGGACACCTTTAACTGGGAGGACAGCGAATACACACTCCAAATATGTTTAGCCACAAAATTTGTTTTACAGATGATCTCAGTGGACTAATACTCTTCTGAACCCTTTTTGAGAAAGGGACCATAAATACCTATCACAGTGGTCAAAACAGCCAAAAGTATGTGGAATCCAAAATGAGCCTCGGTTGCTCACTCTCTTCTCATTGCAATAAACATATACATATGCAGAAACATACTTTAAGGTAGAAAGAATTATTTACATAATGAACAATTCATTGCTGGTCAAAACTTTCAACTATGGTATACTCATTTGGATAAATGAAAAATCATGGTATTATGCTGATTAGACCTGAGATCTATCGAATAACCATAGACTCTGAAGGTGGCATTTGGTGAGAAAGCACATCACTGGGCCTTCGAGGACTCATGCATTAGTGACAGGAAAGCATGCTGGGATTGGAGAGGCAGCCAGGAGCTGGGACAAGGATGGGTATGCTATGATACCAGGTATCCAGACATCCAGGTGATATATGAGAATGTCTGTTACAACCAAAATATCTGGATTTTGGTATAAAATTTGGGGGCACTCTTCAGACAGCACAGAAGCATGGTAGGGCTTCCAGACAATCTCAAAGATCTCATGCAGGAATCTGGGAAAAGCAAAGGAAGGACTCTAGTATAATTATCACTGTGGATAATTCTACTTTCAGGCAGAGGAGTGCTTCAGGCAAATCTGCAGTAAATACAGAAAATACTATGAAGCAGATTTTACAAATGGCAAAAGTACTGTATAGTCTGACTAATTTACCTATCCAACTCTATTCAGAGTTTGACTCTAATCCCAAGAAGCGGACCTAAGTTAAGATCAATGGTAATTTAGTCACAGCTTTGCTGCTAGAAGTAGAAACTAGGATTAAAGAAGATGCATTTTTTTGTTGAGAATAAAAAAAGGGCAGGGATAGGACTCTCCCTGGTGGCACAACGGGTTAAAGCACCGCATTATGAAGCTCTCCGAAGCCACTGCAGCACAAGTTAGATCCTCAGCCAGGGAGCTGACCCACATGGCATGGCAGACCTCTTCTGATCCATCCACTGCTCAGTGTACTTTGCCAATCTGCCTGTTCTACTCCCCACTGTCTCTGGTGAATCCTCTCACCCACCACATCTTCGGCCTATACCCCAGTTCTGTAAGCATAAATAAATAAATCTTTTGAAAAAAATAAAAAGAAAGGACAGGGATAAAAGAATGAACCCCAGGTCAGAAAAGTATGTCAGTTTAGACTGAAAGGAAAATGGGGCGAAAGTATAAAATACATACCAATACGGTGGCCACGTTATTTGGAAACGCCTTCGCGAGGATAGAAAAAGACGCAGTTATTGCTGCAGAAAAGCTTATTGCATCTGCTATTCTCACTACAAAACACATAGCAACAAACATTGGTCCATCTGGAACTTGGTCCAATATGCTGAAATAAAATAAGAAAATTTCAAATGCTAAGTTATTGGTGTTCTACCTTGATAAATGTACCCAGTGACGAGAAGTATCAAACCCACCATGTTTAGGGTAAATTTCTTAGAAAGTGAATGTTTTAAAGAGTTGCTTGTTGTATTTTTATTCAGGAGAAAATTGCTTTTTTGCAATAATTTGGGTCATAATGACAATTATGTTGCCCTTTTCTGCTGACATAATCAATCCCCAGGGAAATCTTTTGAAATATGTGGGACTGACAAAAACCTATATAATTCCTGGCTCCACCCATACCCCCTGCTCCCATAAAGGGGCTGAAATTAAAAAAAAAAAAAAAAAGCTGGCCTCCCCCTGGTAGCATAGTGGGTTAAGGCACAGCAGACCTCTCCTGTTTTACCCACTGCTCCAGTCAGCAGTGTACTTTGACAATTTGCCTACTCTGCTCCTCACTCTGTCTCTGGTGAATCCTCTCACCACCTCTGGCCTGTACCCCAGTTCTGTATGCGTAAATAAATAAATCCTTAAAAAAAAAAAACTATGTAAGCATTTCAAGATTAAAAAAAAAAAGCAGAAAACACTTCACTAATTAAAAAAAATGCTACCTGAATTGATAGGACAATTTTCTGTGCTTCCTTCATTATATTATTACCTTCTTATTCCTCTATATTCCCCAAGAACTTGGGCAAGCTCTTCCATTCTGTTTGTCACTATGGGCTGAATTAAGGACTTTACATGTAAGAACCTTTATAGCTACTTGGCCTCTAGAACTTATTTTTCCTTTGGAAATATTTTGAAATACACTGGAGAGAACCATTCTAAAATCATGGTGAAAGAGACACGGGACTCAGACCTGGCCCACCAGAGCTTTCTCACCTCCACTCTACAGCAACCTTCATGCAGGGATGGGCCATCAAGGACCAGGCCAGGGGGCTTCATGCTGGGACTCTACTAGAAGCTATTGGCAGAGGGCATTCTTTTCCTATGGCAGTTGCTGGGGGCTTTTGTGCCATGACAAGAGCTTGTACAAGAACAAAGTACAGGGGAAGCCAAGCCAGGAACTTGAGAAAGACTTCTGATGACACTGCTTTAATGTAACCTGACCTGTAAGATCTGTAACCTGAATCTTTAGGTAAGAAGTTGACTTTTTTGCTTAAACCAAAATATTTTTACGACTAAGAAAACTGAGTTCTGGACCCTCCCTGGTGGCGCAGCAGGTTAAAGCACAGCACTAAGAAGCTTAAGCCATTTCTGCATAAGTTTGATCCCCGCCTGCTCTGGAGGAGATCCACATGGCTCGGCAGACCTCTCCTGACCTGCCTGCTGCTCCCCTCAGCAGTATACTTTGTCCATCTGCCTGTTCTGCTCCCCACTCTGTCTCTGGTGAATCCTCTCATCCTCCGCATCTCTGGCCTGTACCCCAGTTCTGTATGAATAAATATAGGTAAATCTTTTCAAAAAAAAAAAAAACTGAGTTAAATTTGTCTCACTCATGGACACTGCTGTCCTAACAAATAGATTCTGTTACCAGCTTAATTGTGATCTCCTAGCAGACTCTTTTCTTAAGATCATTATCATTTGCCCCGTTTGTACATGGTCCCAACACCCTTTGCCATTAGTCTCATACCCGAAACTCAACAATCAATAATACTGATTGATTTAAAGAATATATTAATGTTTTAACCTGAAGATAGATTATGTCATCTGTCCAAGCTCCCAAACATATCTGAACATCACTTACCCAAAGAGAATTGTAACTCCTCCTGAGAGAAACATTCCTGCTACAAACATAAATTTTGCTCCAATATGTACAAGCTATAATAAATGTCAAAGAAAAGTGGTAAATTGATGACTGCTACAAGTCTACATTGACATAAACAAATCCACTATATCAGAAAATATAAGATCTGGAGAATATATGACCAGTTTATGAAATACCATAATTCTTTAGTGACTGATATGATATAATTAGTGTATAAACATGGAAGAAATTATCAATCAACCTTAAGAATAAAATTGTCAAGAGTGGTACAATTCATAAAATATAATGGTGGCTATCTCTGTTATCAATGAAAATTCTAGATTAATAAATTAGGATAGCAAATTAGCCAATTTTTCTAAATTAAAATGTACATATGAGCTTCAATACTTACATATTTTCCAAATACCAAAGATGATAGTAAGTCAAACAAGGCATAACAGCCAAAGATCATGCCAATAACTGTGTTGCTGGCTCCTTTTTTTATAGCCTTTAAAGAAACAAAAAAGGAAAAGTTTGAAAGGTAAATTAGCGTCACTTTGGGAAAATGGAGCTATTAGATTATAGTATCATCTTCTGTTAACCTTCATTTACACAGCAATTTTGAAGGTATTATTTAAAGTAAACAGGGTGATCAAGGAATCTAATATATGACAGGAAAATTATTCACCACCATGCCTATGAAGAATAGTTAACTTACTGCATGAAGGTAGAAGAACAAAGCTAGGGGCATCACATTTCCTTATTTTAAAATTATTTCTAAGTATACATTAATTAAAACAGTCTGGAACCGGCATAAAGACAGACATCTGTGCCAATGAAACACACGCGACCCATCCATCTTCCACAAGGTGCCAAGGACGACAGGAGGAAAGTACAGTCGCTTCACAAGTAGTTTAACCTATAGTGCTGGGATGCTGGCCATGCCCAAGCAGGCCCTTCCCTACAACATTCACAAAAATCACCTGAAAAATGACATGTCCGACCTGAAAAAGGCTTAACCGTAGTGCTTGACACTATTCAACTCCTCAAAGGCACACTGGGAAACCTCTTGACATTAACCTTGGCAATGCCTTCTCGGATAGACACTACAGCACAGCCAACAAAACCAAAAATAGATAAGCAGGATAAACGAGAAAGGTTCTTCAGAGCAAAGGAAACAAATCACGGAACAGAAAGGCAGCTGCAGAGTGAAACAAACTATTTGCAGGCCATCTATGAGATAAAGGGTTAGTGTTCTATATATCTAAACTCCCATAACTCAACAGTGAAAAAACAAAGAACCTGAGTCAAAAGTGGGGCTTGAAAAGACAATCTCCAAAGACATAGAAATGGCTACCAGGTGTATGAAAAGGTGTTCAACAGCATTAATCAAGAGGGGCACAGAGATGAAAATCATAATTAGGCATCATCTTATAACCCATTAGGATGCTCATTATTGGGAGAAAAAAAGGAACAAGTGTTGGTGAGAATGTGGAGAAATGAGAAACCGTGTAAGTGGTGGAGACAGCTTAAATCAGAAAACAGTACAAAGATTCCTTAAAACATTAAAAATAGAACTACCATATTATCCAGAAGTCCCATTTCTGAAGATACACACACACAAAAAAAACTGGCAACAGGGTCTCCAAGGAACACCTGCACCCCTATGTTCACTGGAGCATTATTCACAAAGTCGATACAGAATCAATCCAAAAATTCACTGAAAGATGAATGGATATGTAACAGGTACAGGTTTAATGGACTCCGCCCCTACACCAGATGCTGGAACTCCAAATCCCAAGAAGAAGCAGAAGCATGCCGGGACGTGAGGGCGGAGCTGAGCAGCCAGGTTAGGATAAAACAGGACATGTGGGCTCTGGGGGGGACCTGGTGGTTCGCAGCTGATCGTTTTGGCGCTCAATCGGTTTTCAGCGTGCCGGTGGAGTCCACGTCAGCAGAACTGGTAGGACATCCTAGTTAACCTGTGTTTCTCTCCCTCTTTCTCTGGGTTATTCCTTTACCTTTCTCCTTATAAATAAATCCATTATTTAACCTTTTGAGTGTGTCCATAATACGATTGAATCGTAAGCGCACGGGTGAAGACCCACAGACAGGCAACCCAATTCACACTGGGGTGCCTTGTAACAGATAAACAAAATGTGGGGTATACACAATAGAATATTATTTAGCCTTAAAAAAAATCGTGTCGTTTGCAACAAGGTGAATAAACTTTGAGGAACTTATGCTAAGTGAAATAAAACAATTACAAAAGGATATAGTTTCACTTACATAAATTATCTAAAATAGTCAAACTCAAAGAAGCAAAAGACCGGAATGATGGTTTTTAGAGGCTTTAGGGAGTGGTAGAGGGAAATGATTGTGCATTGGGTTTAAAGTTCCTGTTTAAAAAAGGTGAGCTTATATGATATTATAATGCCCACCCCAACATACACAGAGAAAACCCCAAGGGACTTTTTGAAGGGACTGTATAGGTTTAGCTACCTTGATTATTGTGATCAGTCGACGCACATGTCCAAATTCATCAAGGTATATATGTCAAATGTGTGCAATTTTTGCACATAAATTATACCTCAATAAATACCTCCCCTTACCCCCTGATTCCCCACAAGTATTTGCTTTCATGGGCAAAAATCAGAATTAGAGTGCATAAACAAAAACAAGTGAAAAAAAGCTTTGGCCGAGCAAAATTGTGCTTTACTTCACCCATGGAACTGAGCAAACAGCTGATCTTGGCACACTTCCTATTTGTATCTAGGAATAAAAGAAAATACACATGTTGGCTCCTGCCTCCCTAATTCTTGGCACATATCCCCTAAACCCTGGTAATAGCCTAAGTGCTAAGGGTACTTTTGTTCTAACATTTCTGCATTCTTATTTGGAGCACGTATCTCGTAAATCCTTTGGAATTTCCAGGGTTATAAGAGTGTCTTTTGTTCTAATGAGGTGACTCCTGAGGAGATCTTGGTTGGGTGCTGGTCACAAAGAGCAAGCCATGGTGAGGAGCCTGGAAGTCACAGCTTTACCACCTATTCCCCAGAGAGTGCTGGAAGGGAGTTAATGATCGATTGTGCCTCTGGTTGGTGAATATATAGAGAAGCTGGGAGAGAAGGGTGCCCAGGCAGGGCAGAGAAGCTCCCACACGTACCTTGCCCTGAGTATCTCTTCTATCTGTATGTGCCTCTATACGTTCTCATATCCTTTTTATATAAAAATAATATACATTAAATTAGTGTTTCTCTAAGTTCTGTGCATCACTCTAACAGGTAATGAAGCCAAGTTCAGGAGGCCAAGGGAGCCAGAAGGCTAAGCCGGAGATCTACTGCTCTCAGATGGCATCTGAAGTGGGCGGAAGTTGAGAGGGTCTGAGCCCTGACTCTGCAGGGTCTTTGTTCTATCTGGCTAGTGTCAGCACTGAACTGAATTATAAGACACTGAGCTGTTGTCAGTGAGAACCACCTGGTGTGGGGGAGAAGACACATTACTATATCAGAGTGTGAACGTGGCAGCGGTGGGAGAGTCTAGGAGAGACACATAGGAGAAGCGAGTTTTTCCCTTGTTTACAAGATTGAACCCCCTTTAAATAAAAATACTGTGTCGGTCAAAAAATTCAAAAATAGTAAGTTCCTTAATCTATCACATGAGTCATACCAATCCTCACTTAGCCTGGTTCTCTATTCCTGATATTCATACCAGTCACCTGACAAAAGAAAACAAAACTTTCTTTTCTGGTTACAACAACATGGATGAAAGATGTCCCCAAGCACAATATTCTACATTCTCATGAAATAGTGTATCACCCAACAGTGACACCTACTTAAATGCTCTATCAGGGTTCCTAAATTTGCTGTAGATGACAGAGCATTTATTCCAACTTTACTTCTTATGAATTTCAAATGCTACTATTAGTTTTGATGTACAACTGAAATCACATATAAAAATTGAAAGTTTAAGGGTTTCCCTGGTAGCGCAAGGGGTTAAATCGTAGCACTACAAAGTTCTCTGAAGCCACAGCAGCACCAGTTCCATCCTGAGCCAGGGAGCTGACCCACAGCTGACCTCTCCTGTCCCACCTGCCACTCCCCACAGCAGTGTGCTTCGGTGCATCTGCCTGTTCTGCTCCCTGTTCCGTCTCTGGTGAATTCTCTCCCCCTCTCCCACATGTACCTCTGGCCTGTACCGCAGTTCTTATTCATAAATAAATAAATCGCTTTAAAAAAAAAAAAGGTTTGAAAAACTTCTTAAACCCTGGATATATGGAAGCTCCTTAAAGCAGGTTCTAGTTATAGCCATTTAAAGAATTAAAATATGAGTTTAATATCTTTAAGGTAGAGTTGGCAACTTGGCACCCTATGAAGTGCCAAGCCTACACTACGATTCTGTGCCCTCAGTCAGTCAGTGATCACTTACGGAGCACCTAGGAGCCAGCAATGAATAATGATAGCCACAAGAGTCATTTCAAATTTATACTTTGCCCAAGCTTTAGCTTTTTGCCTATATCTTTACTCTTATACAGCAAAGCATACAGCACACACTCCTACAAAAAATAATCTCTGATATCCATAATTCTATTTACCTTTCCTCCCCAACTACAATTTCAAGATAAAATACACTCTTGCTTCCATGTAAAGTTACATTATCATCTAGTTCTTGTCTTTTTCACTCCCCCCCCCCCATCACTGTATTTGCTTAAAGAACCTCTACAATTCTTGTAGCAGAAAACTATCGGAGGTCAGGTAGATGATTCTGATGTTCTCAGCTAAACTTTGTGATGGTTTCCCCTTAGTGTGGAAGACTTCTCTAAGTTCCTGGTGGGTGGAAGCGAGTGGTGAGGATAAACCTACAGAACTGCATTAATTTAGGTGGGATTTATACCCATAATTCCATGGAATTCAATATTAGCTTCTGCCCTCCATTATTAATAAGCACATGAGAAAATAGTGTAGTGATCTCATTATAAAAGGCAAGTTTCCTGGCATCCTAACAAAAAGTTATATTGTATGGAGGCTGAAACATGAAGTCTACATTCCCACTACAGCGTTACAAGGTTGCACTCCATATGGGCCTCAGAATGTGACCTCATTTGGAGACACAACCTTTGCAGGAGTAGGCAGTTAAAATGAGGTTTGTGGGTGGTGTTTAATCTGACACGAAGTATATTTTCATAAAAAGGGAAACTGGATACAGAAATGCCATAGAGAAAACATGAAGTGAGAGGCACAGGGTAAGTCAGCCATGGAGAAGCCAAAGGGAGCGGCTCATATGGAACAGCTCTTCCCTTACAGCTCTCAGAGGAGCAGTCCTGAGTCGCACTGATCCAGGACTCCTGTCCTCCAGAAAGTTGAGGCTAGAAATTGCTGTTTTGTTTTTTTTTTAAAAGATTTATTTATTTGTGCATACAAGAAATGGGATGTGCGTCAGACGTGTGTGTTGGAGGATTGGGGGGGGTAAGAGGATTCACCAGAGACAGAATGGGGAGCAGAACAGGCAGATCTACTGAGATACACTGCTCAGGGGAGCAGTGGGCAGGTCAGGAGAGGTCTGCTATACCGCTGCTAGCCCCTTTTTATAGCTGAGGGCACAAACTTGTAAAACTTACATGGTCACTTTAGCCACAATATGTTCCCAACTTCCACCAGAAAGCAGATAGTGACTTAGAATGTCTAGAACACATATCCTGGCAATAGCTACATAGGGACTCCTGCTTCACATTAGGAAATTCGAGAACAACTATTCAAAGTTATCCTCTTGACAAAGATGGAAGGTGACCAGAAGGATGAGTAGGAACAGAAATCTTGCACGAGAATTTAAGAAGAAACTCCTGATTTTCTTTTGCCTAATAATAGTTCTGGCTAGTAAGAAGGGTGACAGAACATTCAAGAAGAAGGGTGAGCTTTCAAGTGTATTTAACAGACTATAATAAAAAATGAGGAAAGACAATTCTTCATACCTGCACTTTTTAAAGTTAGAGTGCTCTCACCCCGTGTCCAATATAACAAGAATATACACCAAGCCTAGCTTCCCCTGTCTACTTCATGAAAAAACAAACAAACAAACAAACAAACAAAAAAACAAAAAAAAACTAACATTAGTTGCACTCTGAGCCAGCTGAGCCAGGAAATGCTCTTCAACTGGTCAATCCACTTACACCAGTTCTTCTTTGTCTTAACTCCATAGGAGGCTCCCAGCCATCATTATTTTCTCCAAAACCCAAATCTGATCTGTCTTGCTTTAACACCTCTAGTGACCTCTCACTGACTAAATCTTTGGCATGCAGAGAAGGACCCTTGCATTCTAGATCTGACCTGCCTGCTCAGATACTCTGCCTCCTATTGATCATCCAGGCCCAAGTCATAACATGTTGTCTGCTGGGAGGCCAACAACATGTTACAGGCTTCCCCCACTATTCAAAAATATCACCACCATTCCCATGTGGTATGATTAGGTAGGTTACTCTGGGGATCAGGGTACACGGCTAATATAAGTTTATGTGAAAAATTGTTTGAATGTTCATAGACAAAAAATAGCCTACCAAATCATACCAAGTAGGAACATTGTACTTTGGAATAATCACAGAAACCTTTATTGACTAAGCTAATCTCTCAACACACCTAGAAAATGCCCTTGCCACTTTTTCACCTTAGGAGTTACCAATTCTCAAGATCCACCTAGACTTACCCTGTGAAATTGGTTCAGTACCACCTTCTCTCTCGCTTGCCCCTGACCGACTCCTTGTGCTAGGGTCTCACAACATTCTGATACTCTGCATTGTTGTTTCATTCTCAAAGGATATAAAGAGAGGATTTTTTTTTCTGATCTTTTCCTCTGCCCTAATTTATCCAATGGCTCCCATACTCTGCAGGGGGGAAGTTAAATTCCTGCCCCAGTTAAGTGAATAGGACTGACATGAGCAAGTCACTTCTGTTTCTTCATTTGCAACATGAAAAGGGTCTCCTCTCTCCTCTTCTGTTCATGGAGCTGAGGAGATCAGATGGGATACATGTGTGAGAAAGAACAATGTAAACTAAAAAGCACTGTTTGGGTACAGAGGTGTACTGTTCCTTTAGCACAGAAAACATTTTTATCTTCTTTGTAGAACATGAAATAAAAAACTGGAAGGCAGTGAGAGGCCAGGAAGCTGGACTGAGTCTGGCAAAGGCCCAGATATAAAAGAACATATTGTCTCCTCTGGTGTAAGGCAGTCCAGTTCCTTTTATACTGTACCCCCTGCCCCCAGGTTTCAGGAGGACCTTTATTTTCTTTATTTTCTCCAAAACCCATTATTATCTATAGACCCAGAATACCAAGTAAAATGCAATGATTAGAGAGAATTAGCCAATACTAATCAGAATTCATTCTTTGCTCAAACATGGCCACTAAATTTTATAAGAAACTTAAGCCTGAAAACAGAACTTAGTGGATTATGTCTTCCTACTTCCAAAATATTAATAATGCAAAACAGATTCAGTCTTAATCTTTTGCAGTAACCTTCAAATTTTAGTCATTCACTGAGTCATTTTTTTCGTTTGCAGAAACCAAATAAAAATTAATCAAAATGTACAATAAATTAAGGTAACCCTTAAAGGTCAATTATATTTATGGGAATTAGCTCCCAAGATGTTCTTTCTGACTGGATTTTTTTTTTCCTGTTATCCAGCAAAAGTCATCTGTTGGCTGAAGTTCAATCCATATTCTTTTCTATATGCAGATTTTTACATTTTGGAAAATAAAATAATTCAAAAGACATTAACAAAAATAGAATTCATAAGGATAGAAAAATGTCTCACCTCCTTGGGGAAAAAAGGTCCAAGAATAGAGTAGCACAGCATAGAACCTAAATTAATGGACGCTGCAGATATGAGCACAAAAAGCTGCTCTCTGGTTAGTCCACGGGATGTTCCCCCTGGGCTTTCTGGTGGGTCATCACCTTGAATACAAACATTGCAGTTACAGCCAAGTATTTGGGAAGAGGGTAAGAAAATAAATGTCAGCTCTACACACAGACAACGCGCTTTGCTGAGTCAGGGCTATTCTGAATACAGGATGAATGAAGGTAGCACAAGCCTGATACAGTAACTGCAATTTTGAAAATATATCACTTTCGATTACATAATAGTCCCTGTTTCAATCAATTCAACAACTTACAAACTGGTCTTATCTGTTTGCCTTCACCATAAGGTTTATTTCCTTGACCTTTAATGAATGCCTTTAAGTAGGATAGATCCACAGGGTGATCTCTCAGAAGTATAATTTCTCAAGTTACTAACTTTGTATGTCATAAGACCTGGATAATGTTATAAGCACATCATGTTGTCTGTTTATAAAAGATTGTAGGGCACTACAGTGTATGCAGAAAAAACAACGATTCTCACAAACTTAATAAATTAATGTTAACTAAATATTTAAAATGGTTTGTTCTTAGAAAGCCATCTCCTACTATCTAATAATAAAAAAACATTCCTACACGAATTACTGGTCTTTTGCATAAATTTTGATGTACACTTATTCCTAGATCTAACTTCTCGTTTTATCTTTTAGACCCCAGGTTAAGTACTCAATTTCAAAATCGCACAAATCGATTTGCCATTTTAAAATGGTTTTAAGGAAAAGAAAAGTAAATTTGATTTGCTCTATTTTATCCTTCGCAGTACAGAAAAAAAAAACAAACTGGGCAACCTGGTGGATACTAGAGACCTTCGCAAAGGGAGAGAAAGTTAAAAGGGGGAAAGAGCAGCGGGTAATGGGAATGTAAACCTTTCCGTCCGTCTGCCAAGCCGGTTTGAATGCAGCCTAAACACCCAGCACTTAACCGCAGA